GACTTCTTGATGACACAGATGCAAGATGTTTGGGGTCGGTAGTGTAAGGATTGTTGTAGTCGATTGTCCGCTTCGATGTTGGTAACCCACGCGTTTGCGTTATGTGTGATGATACATCTGGGCGTTCTGGAGGATCTCGTAATCGTTTCTTATTAGTTTTTAAAATGTTAGTGCTACTAACGCCTTCCTTACAAAATCTCCATAACGTCCGCGCTGTTTCTGTACCCATACAAAAGCATGTTGGATAGGCCCTTGGTTGTATGGATCAAAGCACCAAATGTGTGGGATTTCGTTTACTTCATCCTAAAATTCGTCCCAATTATTCTTGCCCTACCTAAACGCTGTTGTGTTAGCTGCGTAATTTGACCTGATTACCTTGTGGTAGCTGACTCCATCATAAGGATTTGTGTTGATTATGGTGAATGTTAACTACACCTACTAATTTGCTTTTGGGGATTCTGGCCTGGGTGAATACCTGTTATTAAGATGAATGATAACTGTCGCCTCTGCTTCAACCTGCCATCTGTTGCCTCCAAATTATTCCTTTTACAACAGTCGTCACTGCTAATATATTCACTTGACCTCCAGTGAGGTCGGGGCAATTTTATGTAAGTCACTTTGGAAATGTGACGATCCCGTTTTTATTGCTTGTCTATTGTTTGACTCGTCTCGATTACTAATTGCGTAGGCGTCTATTATTTGGTTCTATGTCAAGTCAAATGAGGAATGGTAACCCTCTAATGTCCCCAAAATTGTTCTTTGCCAACAGTTTAAGCAGAAGCTAGTCCATGTTTAGTGATCTACTTGACTAATTTTGGTTATGTTTGAAGTGTGAATATTTATTTTTCCGCATTTTGATGTTGTGTAAGATTCACTGTAGCCCCTTTGTTTGCATTACCCTCAGTGATTTTAAATTGTTTTCGGTTTGATTGCGTACTCCATAACCTATCTTGTCTCATGGAGATAGGGTGGCTTGAGGGAATGGTTGTACGTCTTTTGCGTAAATTGAAAGTGTCTAGTCCTTTTGAGCTATGCATGAGTTGCGCCGTGAATCAACTCCCGTTCCACTTGCAACTGCTGCCCTCCTCTGCGGACTGCTTATTTTAGTCCTTAGCCCCTGGCATCTTTAATAACGTATTATTTACTTGCAGGTTAATAGAATAAGTTATTAGGCTTTCCCCCTAGTACATACGTTGGGTGTTTTCACACATAGTGGTCCACTTGACCTCACTGGGGTGGTTACATGGGTAATCGGTGTGGGTGTCGACCCATGTGAATGAAATATGAGATATGCTGCCTGCTGCTACAGTTATCAGCATTAGTAGCAGTGATGCCATGAGTAAGTGGTGGGGCCTCATTTTGTACCGTGTACATGAATTCTCCAAGAATTCAGATGATACTCCTAATAAGGATGGCAGGCAACGAAGGCATCAAATTCGATCCAGTGGATATCTACTGCAAGCACATCCCAGCAATGTGACACGTAATCTTGCACCGGTCTAGCACTTAAGTGATGTCGACGTCTTGATGACGATTGCAAAAGACGAATCGTTATTGGCATTTCTGGTAGTGGTGGTTTTTCACCCCATAGAATGTGCTTTTGTATATGTGAACATACAGTTTGCATGATAAATGCATAATTCGGCCCTTGGTGGAATTGTACAAGATTAGCACAATGCATTTGCTTTTGAACGCGAGAATTCTTGATCTGTGAAAAGTTACCACAAATGCTGCATTCGAATGATGCAGCCGCACTGACAGGCCTCTTCGTGTTTCAGGCTTCTAGGTCAGAGGATACGTGGCTGGGTGTAGACAGGGGAAGATTTTGTTTTCCGCCTTTTGTTGATCGTAACTCCCCACTTTTACCATTGCTTTTTTAACACGATTTTTCGCTTGAGCTCAAGCGTCACATATGTGTGACGCCTATATTTGAAAAGAAGGAAGGTAGATCGAATGAAGGGAAATGCGCCAATGGTCATACATGTCGTGACAGTAGAGCACAGTGGTTGGTGACTACCTTTTTGCTGTTGTAACATTCATTTATTTACTCGACGGCGGTCGTAAGGATGAAAGTTTTAGCTCGATGCCTCGTACGCAGTTGTAGCGACTCTCTCTTATGGGGTACGATAGTTGGATCTCTCTTCGGCACCTTTTTGGTGATATGCTAGTTTTCTTTGGTATATGTGTAATGCATTTCTCTTGTGCATCATGGCAACAGTGGCTTAGATGGAGAGGAAGGGAAATGGGGAGATCTATGTTTCTCATTCCACTAGTGCTTCATGACCTGGCATTGTGTCCTCTCTGGCAGTGTTATGCATTGTTTTGCAAGGCAGTTTCTCCTTATGGCAGCATAGAGTGGGACCATGACGACAAATACTAAGTGAGATTTGGGAGTAGGGTATTGCTTCGTTCTCTTTTCTATTCTTTCAGTGGCGAAACCAATGGGCACTGGAGCTGTTGCTCGTTTACTGTAGGTCTTGTGTGAGGCAGCTCTCATGATGCTCTGGCACGTTTCTTGTACAAATTTGGCAGGCTTTCTGTGACTGCTTTCCACTGCTCCTCTTCAAATATCAGTGTTTTCTTTTTTGTGCACCGCTTTGCCTTTTTTGCTTGGTAGAGCACAAGGGCCACGAATTACGCCTCCATCACGCCTTCTCTCTCATTGGGAGCAAATCCGCTGGAGTTAGTGCTTGACCTCACCAGTGCATCCTGGAACTGTCTTTGCCTCTGTGAAGTTGCTCTCGGTGAAGTGCACGACTGTTTCGCTGCCACAACAGCCGCAAAGGCAACTCTGTCCTCTTTTTGTGCTGATGCTTTTATCGAGAGGCTTGTAAGTCCTCCTTTGCGAGTGCCCATTTCTAGGTATCATATGCGGCATTTTCCAGTCTTTGCAGTTTTTTTTCAAATTTGTCTGCTAAAGCACCTGTGAACATAATCTTTTATTGCTCTGATTTGCTGGAAGGCATTATTTGTCAAGGTATTCAGTTTTGAAATCCATATCGTATTTGGTTATCATGATTTTCATAAATTTGTCCAAGACATTGTTGACAGAAAATCTGTTTTTGCAGACAAGTAGATGTAAACACCAAAAGCTTTGCATGGTTTTGCTGGTGATTCCCATCATCTGTCTTGTAGTGCTTGATCCAAATTAATGAGTAGCATTTGGTTTCAAGAGAGTTCTTACATTTCCCCAACACGAGGAATTGCTTTCCTGTAAAATCAGTCGCATGCTCCATGTATTTTGTAGGTACTGCCACCTTTCGCCAAACCAACCTCTTCCAGCAGCCAAAGAATTGTCGTGATGCATTAGGGCTTTATAAAAATGGTGCTGGTGGCTTTGTTAAAATATTTTGCTTTCATCATTTTCGCAGGTGTAGGCACTGTTTCACTTAACGTGGCGTCGAACTATAAGGGGCCGGAGACCGGTGTTGTCCACCCCATTTACCAGCTAGTGGACTTTGCGGGGATAGGCAGCAATCTTCTGTGCAATGAGTAACTGGCACGCGACACAGGTCAAATCACTTCCTAGCGATTGTGATGAATGTGATCAAGATGTTATATCTCAATGTTAACACAGTAAATACCACCAATAATAAATTTGCCACAATCAGTCAATGTTGTCTTCGCGATTATTGGAGGTGGATTCCGTCTTGTTAAAGGATGCTGTGCGCGCAAATTCTCACGTGCCCATATACCGGTGCCAGTTATTCACTGGATCTGTAGAACGACAGGAACTGTAGTTAATTGCAATTGCGTCGATGTAATGAGAAGTACAGTTGTCTAATTGACTGGGCAGCTGAAGTTCCTGTACTTTCCATCTGTTGGGACTAATAGGAATATGTAGAGCGCATTCAAGTGCCCCTTCAGTGTGAGGCACTCGCTACTGTGTTTGTACTACTCTCACATCTTGAGGCTCTCTTATTAGGAAATGGCATTCAAGCCCATTGGCTGTATTTTAGGTTTACTTACTACGCAAAGTGAAGCCAACTGGCACAAATTCTGCACCACTGTTCCACAATAATGCCCTGAGGAAATGGTTGTCTTTTGAACGACCAGTAGTAAATATCATGCAGTTAGACAAATGTAAGAATATAGATACGCAGAAGCAATTGCTCACCACATTCCAATGTGTAGGCAAGACAGATTCGTTTTTACATCAACAACGAATTTTCCGCACTTAAAAGCAAGCTTGTTTTTTAAG